CCCATATCAAGCTACGGACCATCGCGTCAAGATGACATGGGAGGTGGAATCAACATCCTCAGCTCTTCACGCCGCACCTCGAATGCGGCCTCAGATGCGGAATGACGGCTCCGATTTGTTTCTTTTCACGGATTGACTCGGCGAGAATCATGAGCCAGCGCATCCTTCGCCAAGAAGCTTGGCTCACTCCTCTCACGGCGTTAGCAACAGAAACAAGGTGAGTACTAGTAATGGTTATACCTGTGATAAGAGGCAGATGGCACTTCAAAAGGGACCCCTATTCTCGCGGCCATCGTGAAGTCTGGCCGCATCAGCAGTTCACATCTTGCACGACTACGTGAACGGAGGCGTGCAGAGAGAGGCATGTCCTTTGCGGTGCAACGATGCTACTCTCCTTCTTGTTAGATGTCGACTTTCTGCTCCTACCTTACCGACTGCAACCACACACCGGCTTGTTACCTTAAACCTCCCTGTGCAGTATCGATACACAGCAGCTGTGCAATTTGTCGACATCCTTGGTTCATGGGAAACTAGCAAGCTCGATAACCAGGCAGGCTGGCCATCCTTGTCCCGTCGTGTCTTGGCAGCGTCGTCTGGCCGAGAGCTAGGTACGGTAGACAGCATGGTGGTCACAGCACAAAACGGACAAGTGTTGGATGCGTGGCGTAACAGCACGACCGCTTGGTCTAGAAAGAGGCCGCCTAAATCTCCGTTGTCGTCTATTGTTGATATCATCCAGCATGGTGCAGGACGGGAAGACGCAGATAGACTCGCAGAGTCTTATCAGGAAGTTTCATTGTTCTTGATAGGCTCATTTGACGTGCATCAGGCACACGCTGATATCGCGTCTTGTCAGCACACGAGATGACCAAACCGAGAGCTATGAAGAAACAGACATATGCTGGGATCTGGTCTATCTACAGGAGATTCTGCTCCATACAGCGAACCGGAACGAAGGCGAGAGGCTGTGCGCTGCAGCGTCCGTCACACCTCCGCCTCCCCCCTCTATCCATCCAGCAAGAGCAGCATCGCCAAGCAAAAGTGGTTCGCTTCTCCTCTCCCCTTCCCGCATTCACTAGTTTTCGGTATCGACCATGAATCCGTTCAGAACGTGTGGATGAAGTGGCAAGAGAAGAGTGCTGTATCCAAGTCAAATCACATGCCTCCGTGAATCGGACTCTTGGCCGCGCTTTCGGCAATGATGTGCCCCTTGTGGGATGAAGAAGTTTCGTCAAGGATAGATACTTTGAGTTCCTTTTACGTACAATGCCACCCCCGACTCCGCAGGATATAAGTGAGAAAAGAGGCAACCCGAGACAAAATGTCGTGACATTAAGCGTGAAAACTCATCTACATGATGAGCAAGGGGAGAGAGAGAGAGAGGAGGGGACCAATAGCTTGCCCTTGCGCATCTGCTCACCTGACTCTGTCTCTGCCCTTTTCTTTGTTTCTCAATAAGCTGCAAGCCTCTTTTAACCCCGGTCTCGGCTGGCGTCGTTTGTACTATGTCTACCTTATGTATGTGTTGTTTGATCACATCTCAGCCCTGGACTAGCCACAACCTTAATGTCGTGTATCTCCAACTTTTGAGAAATATCCCCAGCTTTCCAGTGAGGGCTTCTCGATATCCGGCCCACCATTCGATGTCCTGCTGCTCGTGATACTTCTTTCGATGCCTCAAGCCAAACAGGTTCGACTGTTGGCAACTGTGTCACTACTACCTGTCTATTCCCATTCTTGCAAGTGCTCAGCTAAAACAAAACACCGGCTGGACTCTGAAAACGACATACTACTCGTATAGATAAGGTAATTTAGCACAGGAAAACTCATCACTTCAACATTCTCCTCCCCAAAGGCTGTGTACATTAGCGCCATCTGTGCTACCTCTCTCTCTCTCTCTCTCTCTTCATGCATCGCTAGAATCCCGCTCTGTTGGTCAGAGGGCCCTGTCGCGTCACGTCTCGTCTCGTGTTTGTCGTCAGTAGGTAGTCCTGCAATCTGGCATAGGTAGCCTGCAGGCTGTGCCGATGTGATGAGGCCATCGTCCACTTGATAACGTTGCAGTCACGATGGATATCCCCCTTTCCCCAGGCCTTTTTTTCCTTGCCTTCGTCTCCTCGCCTCGGAACTCAGTCGGGATTCGGCTGGCTCCCTCACCAAATGTATATCATTTCTGACCAACTTTGAGAAAAAAAAAATCCCTCTTTCTTTTTATTTTTCAGACGTAATCCACAGCTAACATTATGAGCAGCTCTACACAAAGATCCTTCTTCCTCTAATAAAAAGAGTTTTGTTTGTATCCCCCCAGGGCCACCTATCGAGTAAATCCTCGTGCCCTCATACGAGTTCCAACCAACTCCGTGACGCCATAGCCATGCAACCGGCCAGTTGATCCAGTATACCTGCCCCCAAGCCTACCTCCGACATTACCCGTTTTGCCACGCATGGTCACGGAATTCTTTTTTTCGTGTGTGTGCCAGCGCCTACCTGGCACCCGGGGCAGTAGTAGTATTTCGACATGTTCTGTCTGTGAACCTAGTTGTAGGTGCGGGACAGGTTGCGAAGGTACCAGTCTACCAGCTTTCGGCCGACCTTGGCCTCTGAGATGTGAATGAGGTCCTGTAGCAGACAAACGTGTTAGCAAAGAGACCAAAACCCAAGATACTGCAACTTATAGAGAGTGGGGAGGGGTACACGTACTCCTTGCAGAGCATAGTCGAGGTCGCTGACGTTGACCAGCTCGCCGTCCAGGAGACCCTGGTCGTTCCATCGCAGCTGCTTGGTGCGCTGCTTGGTGACCAGGAGCCAGGATCGGAGCTCGTCGGGCTTCACCTCGAGGAAGCCGGCCAGCTTGGTCAGGTCCATGGTGGTGTAGAGGCGGAGGTACGACTTGATGGTCGGGCTGTACATGTTGGTCTTGACCTCGTCCATGAAGATGGACAGGTGGTGCTCCACGGGGTCGATGTTGGCCTCGGGGTTGTCAAAGTCCGGCGGGATGGGGGAGATGAACTTGGGGCAGGCGCTGCGGAACAGCTCCTCGAAGATGGGCAGCGACTCGGGGCCGCCGCGCTGCATCTTAAGCAGCTGGTCGCCGTACTTCTCCCGCAGGGCGCTATGGATGGTGTCGTCCAGCCTGGTGGGGTGGAAGGCCACGCAGATGGCGATCAGAGCATACATCTGCTCGTTCTTCTTGGTGATGGAGTCGAACTGCGCGTTCTTCTGGAAGTTCTTGGTCCGCGACACGTAGACCAAGATGTGGCTGAACATGCGGATGGCATCGGCGTATCGGTGCATCATCATGTACGAAAAGCCGACGTAGTAGTACGTCGTGAAGTGCGCAGCCATGACGCGGGCAAACATGGCCTTCTTGTTGAGCTCAATGTCATCCAGCGTCTTGAGCGCCAGGGCAAAGTCTCCCAGCAGGCAGTGCACCCGCAGGAGGCCGATGATGGAGAAGTACCCCAGCATGCGGTACAGGTTCTTGGATCCGTACTCGCCGGCGACCGCCATGGGGTCCTCGTTGCGCTTCATGGCTCCCAGCTGCTCGGTGATCTGGGATCGCTGGATGAGCGAGTAGAGCACGTTGAGCACGCTGTAGCAGCCCCACGTGTTGGGGTTTTCGCGCAGAATCTGGATCTCCTCCTCGTTGTTGGCCTGTCTCGCGATCCGGCTTCGGTAGGAGCTGAAGGAGTTGAACTGGTAGATGAATTCATCGATGACGTCCCAAGCCCAGTAGTACTAAATGCAACAAAAAGCGTTAGCCACGACATGACAAGCAATTGGGGCAACCAAACAGCACAAGCAATGCTATTCGCGCGGGGCCGCACGCACAGAAGGGGGCTCGAGGTCAACAGGGCCGTCCGAGTTCAAAATGTAGTGGAACAAGCTGCAGTACGAGTCGTAGCTCTGGAACTTGACCTCGAGAGGCGCCGAGAAGTCGAGCGGCTGAGCGGCCGACAGGAGGCGGGACTGGATGTCGTCGGTCTGCTGGGCCATGTTGAGCGACGTCGTCTGGCTGAGCTCGTCGCCATCCTCGTACTGCACATGCTCCTTGTACTCGGCCACCAGGGCTTCCTCCTCGACGTCGCTGTCGTCGGCAATCGCGCGGGCTGGAGGCCCTCCGTTCATATTGTGAGATTTGACCGCCCGTTCCGTCTGGGTGAGGTCTTGTCGCGGGCTGCTGGGGGGGGAGGGGGGCAGCGGAATGATTTTTTTGCCTTGCGGGGAGGGGCTTGAGGCTGTCACGAATTTTCCCCTTCGTGACTTGTTAGGGCTTGGTGCATCGCTATGTGCATGGGGGGACAAGCGATGGTGTGGATGCTGCTTTGGTGCATGGTATATGCAGCTAAGCGAAAAATGCTCTGATAGGAGCGTAAGAGATTTCGAGGCGGGGCAGCTGGTACAAGGTACCGGGTACGGGGGAACCTTGCAGAAAGACGATGACACGGAGGGGTCAACAAAGACTGAGGGGCAGCAAGAGCTGACTGTAGAAAGATGGACGCGGAAAAAAATTTATATGGGTTGGTCAGTTTGAATGCGAAAGCTTACAGATTCAGTATAAAGGCAAGTTTTCTGGCTTCGAGGCTTCTTTGACGTCAAAGTTGGATATCGTGGGCAAGCTACAACTGCATTAATAAGCAACTGTGGACGTTTGTGGACTGCAACGCTGCAGCAACACCTTTCCAGTCATCCCGAAAAGAGTCATAAGCTGGGCTTGGTGACGCATTATAACCATCGCCCCCTGAACCCTGCGTGTCATAGTGTTTACTTCTCTAGGGTTTTGACAAAGAAGAAGTCTCTGTTGCCGCTAGAAGGGCGATCTGGGCGTGGCGTTTGTTCACTGATCCTTCTCTTATCCCTCTTATAAGATTTGACAAGGGACAGGCAACGACCATCAACGAGCAAAACGAAACAATCACACTCGTATTCACATCTCGCCATCTCTTTTTCACCATCTACCGTCCGTTTCTCATCCATCTCACATTCACAATCTTCCCAATATGCCGCTCGTAACACCGGAAAAGCTGGCCAGCTTGCAGAAGCAATCCCAAGATGTCCGGAATGTGAGTACACACAACATGCATCACCCACCTCATATCGAGTCCTGCCCATTGACAAAATCCATCCAGATCTGCATCCTGGCCCACGTCGACCACGGCAAAACCTCACTCACAGACGCCCTCCTGGCCACCAACGGCATCATCTCGCCCAAACTCGCCGGCAAGATCCGCTACCTCGACTCCAGGCCGGACGAGCAGACCCGAGGCATCACCATGGAATCGTCCGCCATCTCACTCTACTTCTCCATGCTGAGGCGATCTGCTCCTGATGCTGCTCCCGAGCCCAAGGAGTATCTCATCAACCTGATCGATTCGCCGGGCCACATCGACTTCAGCAGCGAAGTGTCGACCGCTTCTCGACTATGCGACGGCGCCGTTGTCCTGGTGGACGCTGTCGAGGGGGTTTGCAGTCAGACCGTGACCGTCCTGCGACAGAGCTGGATCGAAAAGCTCAAGCCGCTGCTCGTCATCAACAAAATCGACAGGCTCATCACCGAGCTCAAGATGACCCCTCAGGAGGCATACGTCCATCTCAGCAAACTCCTGGAGCAGGTCAATGCCGTGCTGGGAAGCTTTTTCCAGGGCGAGCGAATGGAGGAGGATCTCAACTGGCGAGTCAAGATGGAAGAGCGCGTCAATGCTGCAGCCGCAAGCAAGGCGTCTGTAAGCGATACTACTTCAGAAGTTTCCGATTTGCAGTTCGAGGAGCTTGACGACGAGGATTTGTATTTCGCGCCCGAGAAGAACAACGTCATCTTCAGCAGTGCCATTGATGGCTGGGCGTTTACCTGCAGGCAGTTTGCGGTTCTGTACGAGAAGAAGCTGGGCATCAAGCGAGGCATCATGGAGAAATGCCTGTGGGGTAACTTCTACTTGGATCCCAAGACCAAAAAGGTGCTCGGGCAGAAACACCTCAAAGGCCGCAATCTCAAGCCCATGTTCGTCCAGCTGGTTCTCGAGCCGGTTTGGACCGTTTACAGGGCTACTATTGGCGCTGATGGAGGCAAAGGAGACCCAGCCCTCCTCGAAAAGGTCACAAAGTCGCTCAACGTCACCATTGCCCCTCACATCCTCCGGGCAAGAGATCCTAGGCTTCTCCTGACTACGGTATTCTCTTCATGGCTGCCTCTATCGACTGCTCTGCTGGTCTCTGTTATCGAGTCACTACCGTCACCTCCGGTAGCGCAGGCCGAGCGACTACCCTCCGTTATCGACGAGTCTCCTGACTCCAGCTTCGTGGACAAAACCATCAGGGAAGCCATAGTCTCCTTCAAGACGGACAAGTCAGCCCCTGTCGTCGCATACGTCAGCAAGATGGTGTCCGTTCCCGAAAGCGAGCTTCCCGAAAACAAGCGGCCCACTGGCCAAATGTCTGGAGAAGAGGCGAGAGAATTGGCCCGACAGAAGCGTGCAGCTGCCGCCGCATTGGCTGCTGCCAACAGTCAAGATGGAGTAGCCAGCTTGACCGATGCATTGGAGGCTGTCGATCTCGATGATGTAAAGCCTGCGGCCGAGGAGGAAAAGGTCGACCCCGAGCATTTGATTGGCTTTGCAAGAATTTTTTCAGGAACTCTCTCCGTGGGAGACACACTATATGTCATCCCTCCCAAGTGGTCACCGGCCAATCCTCACGCGGACCCTGAGCCTCAGCAGATCACCGTCAAGTCATTATACATGCTCATGGGAAGGAGTCTCGAGGCACTCAGCAGTGTGCCGGCTGGTGTCGTCTTCGGCATTGGAGGCTTGGATGGCAAGATTCTCAAATCGGGAACCCTCTGCAGTAAGCTTGAAGGCGCCGTCAACTTGGCAGGCATCAGCTTGGCTGGGAAGCCCATTGTTCGCGTTGCACTTGAGCCCGTCAACCCTGCCGACCTGGATAAGATGATTCAAGGCTTGCATCTGCTTGTGCAGAGCGACCCGTGTGCGGAATACGAGCAATTTGCCAGTGGAGAACACGTTTTGCTTACTGCCGGCGAGCTTCATCTCGAGAGATGTCTGTTGGATCTGAAGGAACGATTCGCGCGATGCGATATCCAGGCCGGCGCTCCCATCGTGCCTTACAGAGAGACAATCGTCAAGGCAGAAGAGATGCGCCCTCCCGCGAACAAGGAGCTCGGTCGTGGAACTGTCGTTACCTCTACGAGCTCGAAGCAGGTCAACATGACCATTCGTGTGCAGCCATTGCCCGCGAATGTTACAGAATTTCTGCTCAAGAACAGTGATGCTATCAAGCGCCTGCACAACGTCCGCAAGGCGGCAGAGGAAGCACGTGGAGAAGAGAACGGGGAAGCCATAGAGGCTGACACGGAGCTTACTGCTGCCACGGCCATGTCTGCCGAGGAACTCAAGACACAGCTGCAGAAAGAGTTGGAGACCGGAAAGGGCCGCGAAGCATGGAAAGGCGTGGTAGATCGAATCGCAGCATTTGGACCGAGGCGGACAGGTCCCAACCTCCTCATTGATGCCACCAAGGACGGCATTCTTCCCAAGGTCTTCTCCACGGTCAAGGCAACCGAGGCGGCATCTGCCGATTCTGCCGAGAAGCTCCATCCCAGCCATCTCTCCGACAAGTTGACGTATGCTTTCCAGCTGGGGACGGCACAGGGTCAGCTGTGTAACGAACCCATGCAGGGAGTTGCCGTCTTCGTCGAGGACGTGTCGCTGAGCCTTTCAGAGGACGACACGTCCGCCCGTGATAAGCTGGGCAGGCTCACAGGAGAGGTCATCAAGGCCTTTCAGTCGGCCATGCGCGCAGGCTTCCTTGACTGGTCTCCGAGACTCATGCTTGCCATGTACACGCTCGAAATTCAGACGTCTACCGAAGTCCTGGGCCGAGTGTACGACGTGCTGACCCGTCGCCGGGGCCGTGTGGTGGCTGAGGAGATGAAGGAGGGCACACCGTTCTTCACCATCCAAGCTATGCTGCCCGTGGCGGAGAGTTTTGGGTTCGCGGACGAGATGCGCAAGCGGACGAGCGGGGCGGCGCAGCCGCAGCTCATCTTTGCCGGGTTCGAGATCCTGGACGAAGATCCGTTCTGGGTGCCGTTTACCGAGGACGACTTGGAGGACCTCGGAGAATTGGCCGATAAGGAAAATGTAGCGAAGAGGTACATGGATGGCGTGAGAAAGAAGAAGGGCTTGCTGGTGGAGGGTAGGACTGTGGCCAGAGATGCGGAGAAGCAGAAGACGCTCAAGAGGTAGAGGAGCGAAGAGTGGCGGGTCAGAGCCGGCAGACAGCCATTTCCGACATTTGGTACTCCGTATAGCCAATTGAACGAGTACTTAGACACTCAGCTGTCTTTCTCTCCCTCTCGGCTCACCTTGCATTGATCGACCTCGCCTGGAGATTCAGCTTGCCAGCCGTCTCGACCTGTGGTTTCCTAGTCCAGGACTACTCCACGGCTAAACAGCCACTAGCACGGGGAGCAGCAGCGAGTGCCGAGAAGCATCTGTCGGAGCAAAAGTCATTGGACGCACAAAGGCGATCTAGTATCCCACTGCTTGGTAGCCGACTCCACCACCCAGCGGATCTCGCCAGCAAGCCGGCGGCCGATCGACGAAACAGCCAGTTGCCTCCGGGGTCTAGAGCAGTCCTATCCTGACCGTAAATAGTTTGCCACTTCTTCAATTGTGATCACGAGCTTTGCTAATCGTGAGGAGTATACGGGGCCTCGGTGAACGGGCAGACAAGAACAGCATGTGCCTCGGTGCTGCTGACTCTGGGGAAACCGGGATATCCCTGATGGCGAGGACTTGAAGGGCCAAAGACCTTGGATCCGGTGAGAGTTGTGGACCGATAGTGTGCTCTTCTGATGCCCGGCCAATCGTCTTCTTTCCTCTCGCATCGCATCGTATTGTGCTGGGGGTGCGAGTAATTCGCCGAGCCGGGCATCAGCGCCTCCGCTTGGCTTTGACGGGGGCGGTTGATCAGAGTCTCGAATCAGGCTTTTGTATCCATGGCAGGTGTTGGTTAAGGCCGTGATGGCTGGAGTGGCAGTGCGAAGAGATGCAATTTGGGATGCAATTTATTATGCATGTCCCAGATACTGCCTGTGGCTGATTGAATGCATGTGATTGAATGATTTGACTGGTCGACTGAGTGAGTGATGGATCGGACTATGATTTGCAGCGACTGATGCGGTTGGACGGTCTCGGGTCCTACTCCGTACCCTACCTTGCTCTATTGCCTCAGAAGCGGCTATCTGGCTTGCCAGCATCCCGAGTTTGTAGATACTGCAGAAAGGTGTGGTCATCTTTATATGCTCTGTCGTTCTGTAGACAGGTTAGTAGCCAGTAAGGTAGGCAGAGGTTGAAGCAGATACATATAAGGTAGCAATGCTAGAGGACAATCGCAGCGAGGCTGAGGTACTTCGTACTCAAACGAAGAGATCATTTTTACCTTACCTTCCAGATTAGCTGAGCGTGTCCCTCGCATCGGTCCTGCCTGCAGCAAAAGTAAGACACAGCTAACAAATCCAACAGCGGCAACAGCGGCCCGTGGTCCTTAGTCCAGCCACCAGACTCTTATCTGTCGCCAATTTCCTTTTGTTTTACTCGCGCGTCTTTCTTTTACGCCTCCATCACCAATCTCTGTCCCTCTCCCTTGCTTGTCGTTTCATCACATGTGTGACAAGGCCTCATTGGCTCAAGTTGAGAATTGACTGACAAGAGCGGCGACTCGAATTGGGGGGGGTCACATTCCCGGAGCTTTTCTTGCCTCGTTTGTTGAGGCATCGATCGATGGGAAAGCAGCAGCATCCTGTCCGCCAGGCTCAGCGCTAGCCACTCCGCCTCTTCTTCCTCGATGACAGCCCTGGAGCGATATCCCCCGCATATCACACGCAGCATGAGCCGAACACAGGGCCTGAAGCAAGGGCATGCCTGGGCTTGTCTTCCGAGAATGGAGCCACGGAAAACGGAGCGTTACTAGGCTATCCACTCTTCAGCCCTGGACGAAAGACCAGCCTGGACCAACCGCTTCGCCTGGCGCTCGAGGTGGCGTGAGACAAATTACTAGCTGCTGTGCACTGACAGCTCCTTGCTTTGCCCCCCTCTCGCACGCCACCTCAGCTCTGTGCGCAGGACAGACTGCCATGTCTTGAGCAGAGAGTCAAAGCATGCGGAACCGAGGGCGTCCGGAGCAGAGGAGACGGGCGAGTCATGCAGCCTGCTGCGTTCTCGCAAAGTACTCCGGCCCCGGGTCCTTGAGGCGGGGGAAACTGGGCGCAGGGTCCATTACTTGGGATATGCCTGCAGCGGCTTTTGCTAATGCCAATGGACTCGTCAATGCCGGGCATGCAGATGAGAGACATCAAGAGCTGGGGTCTGGGGACAAAAGAGCCGCTGCTCTCCCTTGTTGTGGGTCGAGACAGAGCTGGGGAGAGCTGGGGAGAGTGGGCAGCTTGTCTTCTGTATCTTTGGATGGCTTGATTCCTGGGCTTCATAACAGCTGAGGACCCCCTCATCCTCTGTGCGGTGGCAAATTGCTATTCCTACCTCTCATACCGACTTCAGCTGCTTTCTTCCACTCTCGTGTGCAGATACTCCGTGGTGACGATGATATCCAACGACAAGATCTTTGCCAGGGACTTGGAGCCGATACCAGTGGACCGGGACGACATGGACAAAGCGGAAGCACTGACGATCCAAGTCTTCCTTCTTCTTGGCGCTGCCCTGTTCTCTATCGGCGGACGATTATACGTGCGGTGCCGGCAATTCGGAGTGAAAGACCTCGGCCTCGATGATGGGCTTGTCGTTGCGGGAATGGTAAGTACCATTTCCTGAAGCTTTGTGTATTCATCCGTCTTTATACATGATAAGCCCTAACAATGGCTCCAGATCTTGTTTGTGCTGAATGTGATGTGGGCGTACATTATGACTACGCAGACACAGTGGACAGGCAATCGCTCTGTAATGAATGGTCAAGCTGGAGCGCAGTCGACCGGACTGGAATATCATCTGGGGTAATGTAAACCATCATTTGGCGGACTCGAGTCCTCGAGGTTCTAACTGAGTAGTTTCAGAGAACTTGGATCCAAGCTGTATCTATACAGCTGGTTATGCTATTCGGCCGCGTTGTGGACGTTCAAGGCGGCCTTTCTTGCGATTATCCTACGCCGATTAGCTCGATTTGGTAGACGACAAACCCACCGCTATCTGGGCTTTGGTTTCTTGATGGTTACGTGGGCAGCAACGATGATGGCTCTTTTTCAACATTGCCGGCCACTATCACGCATGTGGCCAACGTATTCGGACCCGGGGCAGCATTGCCAGCCCGCTACCTCGCCGGTGCTGGTATGGGTTTGTCTCGGCTTCGACATCATCACGAATTTGTACTTGGCATTCGCTGCTGTATCTGTCGCTGCCAGGGAAGGCAAGCCTACGAGGGATAAGCTTCAGTGGTTTGCGGCGCCGGTTTGTGGCCTGCTTGCCACGGGGGCCGCAATTGCACGGGCTGTCATTTTGTCATCGGTATGTTTGCCCCCCACTCCTTGGTTGCTGGGGAATATGAAAAACTGATGGTCAACCTAGGATCACAACCTCGATGTAGAGCAACGTGCGGAGGCTTGGGCTATTTGGCAGATCTTCATCTTTGTTGCGGCCGTTGGTTTTGCAGAGGTTTCCTACCAGGATTACTCTCATATCAAAGATGTCGATGCTACTAGCTTCAAGGACTATATCTGTTCGAGTCGTTTCTCCACCAGACGACCCAGCCTCGCCGAGTCGGAAGCGACCATCGTCGTCACGCCTGAGCTGACAGATTTACACGACAAACTGGCGGATATGTCGGTCGAAGAGATTATGGTCGAGGGCTGTCGGACCTCGGGTATACGACGCAAAGTGGAAGTATCGGTGGTCCAGGAAAGCTTTGTCATAGCGCCAGAGGGACCGTGCAACATCTGCGGAAACTATACGAAAAGCTGGGCAAACGACGAGGACGCAAACAAGCCGGAGCAGCGAAGCACCTATTTTGGAGGCAACGTCCATTTCCATGTGCCAAGTTGTGGCATCATCAACAAAGAACAAACATGAATCGGCATTTTGAATGCTTTCAGCGTTGCATCGGAGTTTGTACGTCATTTGGTTTATGAGGAGAAATGTGTTTTGGGACTGGATAGGCTGTCTTGGGACCGGTATCATTGGATTTGGCAGAGAGCATCATTTGTTTTGCCTAGGCATTTCTACATTAATTTGATATAAGAAACCATCACTGCGCTGCCTTTCAGTCGTGCTACTTCCACATATCAAGCACGAATGCTCACGGGTCGAAAAAGATGTTATTCTTCTTGTTGAAGTATTGTCTCTCCCCTACAGCTGGCGCCGGGCACTTGTTTCAAAGGCGATCAGCTTCATGACGCTGATTCGAGTTGGTAAGGACGACGATTAGCGGGAGCCGGCTGGGTTGACACGTACGCAGATAACGGTCACGGGACGCTCCAAAGAAGGTGAGCTCGGTGATCTCAAAGGCAAGCAAGTTGAGATAGATGCAGTGTGTAGTGCGGAATTCGCATAGGGAAGAGGGCGTCGTTCAAGCAAACAAAGCGGTAGGCGTTGTTGTAAGTTGGTAGTGCTATGGGATCGAGAGGACATTCTTAGAATATGGCATCATGTCTCTTTAATGTGCATTATTCTTTTGCCCTAGGGGTATATATTTCACCCTGATTTCCCCAAGAGCCTCCATTGCTGTCAGTAATAGTACACTCATCGTTTGCTGTCGGCAGCGACCCCTATCAAGAGAGAAACTTATAGGGTAAGTCATCACATCACATCACGATCGAACGACGGAATCCAAATCGCAAATCCGACCCCACAAATGGCACGTGCCCAGGCCGCGAATCGGAGGCGACTTTTAGTGGAACCACTTCCCAAAAGGCTGCGAAACCTGCCCATTTCTGCGGCTTGTGCCTGCCCTGCTTGCGCGTGCCTGCTCCTGCTCCTTCCCCCAGGCTGCAGCGCGGTCCACCCTCTAAACTCGCCCGCTAAATTCAAAAGCAGGCAAGAACAGGACAATCCAATCCAATCCTCCAAGGCCGCGAGAGCCAGTAAGAACCATGGCCTGGGCTCCTTCCCACAGTCCGGTTCAGCTTTTGGGAACTTCCCCAAGCCAAAAGTTGACATAAGCTTCTTGTTTCCACCGCAGCCAACCCAGCGGCAGGCGCTTCCTCCCAGACCACCTGCCACCTCTTCAGTCACTGACTGAGTCGTTTTGGGACCGTGGCTTGACGCGATCCGAATTTTTCCTCTTTTCTTCTCCCTCTCCGGATCCTCCAATTTTCTTACTGCCGACTGACTCTGGTGAAGCAGCATTAGTTTCTCTATTCACGCTAATATTCTTCTGGATTTATTCTCGACTCATTCCCTTTCATCATCGAATACTTCCTCTTTCTCTCTCTCTCTCCCCAACTCTTGTAATACTTTTGTTTCACTCCCGGAGTCCGTCGTCTTCCAGCCTCTCAATCGAAGCACCGCCACTCATTTGTTCTATTTTCAAATCGGCCTTGTTCACCCTCGTTCAAACGGCTTTTTGCCTCCCCCGCCACCCGCTGCCGTCATCGCCCTGTCGCGACCCTGTCAAAGCGTCCCGTGATAAACCCGTCGACTCGCTCTTTGTCACTCTCTCGCATCGTCGCGTGCCCGCCCATTCGCCCGACCTCCAAGGCTCCAAGGCAGTCTCTCCACGAGAACCGATCGGCTAGGCAGAGCCCCTCGGCTGAAAAAGCAACACCCCTGAGCCGAGCCGCCTGATCTGATCTCTCCACCAAATTCGGACTTTGTCTTTTTCTGTCCGTTGCTTTACCTTTGCGCTCTCGACTGTTCCGCCTGTTTGATGCCGTCACCATGCCTCTCCTCAGTGGAAAGGGCAACAAGTTCAAGGTCGACCCGCCCAAGATTCGCATCGAAAAGGTCACCATAGAGCGTCCTGCGCCACCGAAGCCGAAGCCCAAGCCCGCAGCTCGACCGTCGCTGTCCTCCTCTGCGCGATCATCACCCGCCCGCCGGCTCTCGCCCAAGGCCCCCTCAGCCTCAGCGGTTTCTTCAGCGTCGTCTCGAGCAAAGAGCGGCTCGCCGTACCCCTCGTCAGCGGACGAGAGGCGCCTCGACCTGCAGCGCAAACGCAAGGCGCTCAGCGCGTCACAACGCCGATCACCCGCCAGCGACCGCATCGAGTTCGACAAGGACAGCGACGCCGAAGACGATGGATGGATGGACTTGGATTCGCACAAGCGCCAGCGCAAGGCCACGAGCGAGAGCAAGTCGGTTGATTCGAACCGCAAGCTGAAGAGCGCGAAAGCGTTTGAGCGCAAGGATGAGAGGCTGCAGTTCATCCATGCCGTTGACGTTGCCTCGCTCGAGCACAAGTGCGTTCCCATCATGGGAGCATCCAAGGAGGATGTGGCAATAGAGCTCCAGTATCCCACTCTGCAGCGCCGCGAAAAGTCAGTCATTTCCCATTAACGTTCTGATCCATCTCCATTTCTGCTCGGCACCTCGTTCCTCTCCTTGATTTGAATGTCTTTGTGTTCCAGTCATCAAGTAGGCATGTTCTTCGTCCTAACAGGGAAACAGGTTCGAGCTCGTTTGGGGCAAGGATAAGATCGACGCCGTGGAGGCGAGCATACGCATAGTGCGCCTGGTTGCGGAGACGTATCTCACCGACGCCGAAGCAGAGCCCTTTACCAACCAGAACAACGGATTCATTCGGCGACTCGAAAAGGCCTCGAATCGCAACATCCAAGATCTGATGGGCTTCAAGGCCGCACTACGCGAGTACAATGAGACGCTCCTCGCCTTGGTCGAGGATGGCGTCGTCTCGAAGAATCTCGACAACCTGCACGAACTGCCGCCGCACCTCGCTGCTTTCATTCTCGACCAAATCTATGATCGTACAGTGGCTCCCAAGGTGGAACTACTCTCAAAGTACGAGAACGGAACGGACTATGTCTATGGCGAGCTTCTCCATCCCTTTATCACCAAGCTCCTCGTCGACCAGACCAAGATGACATCGGACCAAGTGTTTGTCGATTTGGGCTCGGGCGTGGGCAACGTTGTTCTGCAGGCGGCTCTCGAAATCGGATGCGAGAGCTGGGGCTGTGAGATGATGGAGAACGCCTGCAACCTGGCAGAGGCTCAAGAGAAGGAGTTTCACGCCCGGTGCCTGCTTTGGGGTCTGGAACCCGGCGAGGTGCACCTTGAACGCGGCGACTTCCGCAAGAACTCTTCGATTCACGACGCCCTGAAGCGGGCCGATGTTGTGCTTGTCAACAACAAGGCCTTTACTGCGCAGCTTAACGACGACTTGATTCGCATGTTCCTTGATCTCAAGTCGGGATGCAAGATCATCTCGCTCAAATCTTTTGTGGCTGACTCCAAGAGTAGCCACAACATCAACGACGTCGGAAGCACCATCCTCGAGGTCGAGGAGTGCACGTACCCCGAGGGCTACGTCAGCTGGACCAATGCCGGCGGGCAGTACTATATCTCCACGCGGAAATAGACTAATTAGAGCTTCATCAGCACTGCATAAACACGACATTTCGAGTATTGTAGAATATAAACCACTGAGTACAAATGGGGAACATGGATATGGGTATTTTTCTTTCTTCCGTTTCTTCTTTCGCTGGGCTGAATCTTGTTGGATGACCGGCAATGGAGGATAACCCTTGTTTGAACGATTCGTGATCATTCGGCAGCGAGACAAATGCGTTTGTAGATGATGAGATGAAACAAAGATAACAGTACAAATGCAAGAAATGGAGAGAAAACCATCCTTACCGCCATGAGTGAAACCGGGTGATTTAGTTCCATGCTTTCTTCTACCGCCCCTTTCCTGACGTGGGCTCGTTTGCGAGGTTCATGGCGTCGGCCTCTTGGGCCATGCGCTTCATCCACCTATCGACGAGCTCATTATTTTCCCGCTTGACTCGGTCTCTCTCCTTTTCGGCCATGGAGAGTTGAAGGTTCAGTGCAATCATTTCATCCTGGACTTGCTGTGCGTGCGTGTCAGTTACTGGGTACCATCAAAAAAGGAAAGGATATCTCGTTTGAGCGCATAAGGTCAAGTACCTCGACCAGCTTTCGTTTCTCTTTGAGCTCGTATTCCCGGTCATGCACCTTGGTGGCAAGAAGTGATCGTTCAGCAGTGAGATCCTTGATGGTCCGCGCGTCCTGCTTCGTTTTCAAACGCAGCTTGTCGAGTTCCTCCTCCGCAGCCCGCAGCCGCACCTCCGCCACGCCCTTGGAACGCAAAGCCTCGGCCAAATCGAGCCGTAGCTGGGCGATGCCTGGGTCGTTGGATGCTGCTGCCTGGTTGGGCTGGAGGGAGGGTGATCTTGTCCGGCTGGTGCCTAGGCCAGCGATTTGCGACTCCAGGGCGAATTTCTCGGCTTCTAGCGATGAGATGCGGTCTGCCATTTGTGAGCCTGGGGGAGGATGCAGTCAGCTTGAAGTGTTCGGGAAGAAAGGAGGGAGTGGGTGAGTGAGCGCAGGGCGAACAGGCTTGGACGAGCTCCATGTTGACGGGGTTGTTGAGCTCTGATTCCCGGAGGGAAGAGAGGTATTCGTCTCTCCAGTTTGGCATTTCGAAGAGGAGCGATGTGAGGGACACTGAAAGATACCCTGGAATTAAGGAAGCTGTGAGTTTTCTCCTGAGATTCTATGAGTGCTGAAAGATGAGATAAGGCGTTGATGAGAGGGTATCGTATGGAGCATGTGGCTGTTGATGACCTTCAAATGGTGGGGGCTGTGATGTTCCTTGTAAGGTCATTAGAGGGATGAGTTGATGATGTAAGTTGCGATACGTACCCAGGAGAGGTTGGGCCGTGTCTTGTCCCTTGTTTAGCCGACGGATGGCCTGCGCTCTCATTGGATGAAGCTATGGCCAGCTCCGGCCTGTCCAACCTCCAGCCCAGCAGCTCGTCACTCATTCACCTCTCAATCTCGTCGTTTGGGCCTTCAACTTTGCCGTCGCCGTCGGAAATGAGATGACATGAGATAAGCAGCAGCATGGACACGCTTCACGCAAGAGCCGACTGGGAGCGCGTGGGCGACAAGTGGTTCCGCAAGACGGAGCAGTATACCGCCGTCTTCGGCCAGGACCTGGACCTCGATGGCTTCATCGTGACGGGCGCGCCCTACGCCGGCGCTCTGGCGCTGTGGCGGGACGACACGAAGCTGCAGGCGCACAAGACGGGCCAGCCGTTGAAGCCGGCCATCGACATCTACAGCCTGGCAGGCAAGAAGCTGCGCTCCATCCCCTGGGACAGCGGCGGCACCATCAAGGGCCTGGGATGGTCCGAGGACGAGGCGCTGCTGGTGGTGGCGGCGGACGGCAACGTGCGCTGCTACGACATGCAGGGCGACTTTAGTCACTTCTCGCTGGGAAACGGGGCGGATAACTATGGGGTTGAGTCGTGCCGGTAAATGAAACTGCCAAGCAGCCTTTGACGAGGCAGAGAAAGTAGAGAGAGAGGAGAGCTGAAACGGTGATTTTTCTATTATTAGGTTCTACGACACCGGAATGGTGGCTCTGCTGGGGAACAACACGTTGGTGACGGTCTCGTCTTACTCGGAGCCGCGGCCAAAGCTGCTCGCGCCTGTGCCTGCCGGCGAGATCCATTCGTGGGCCATTATCTCGCCCAACCACACGCTGTCTCGCTCCGTCGAAGTTTTGCTCAGCATGGGGTCGACCGTCTATGTAGTCGATGCCACCGACTGCGAGGACAGATTTCTAGATGTCGGGCCATTCTCACACATTAGCGTTTCGCCGGATGGGCGGTTTGCCAACCTGTATGGCATGAATGGCAAAGCACACGTCGTATCGAGCGATTTCCAGGAGAGGCTCTTTGAGCACAACTCGAACTCGAACACGCCTCCCAAGTACGTGGAGTGGTGTGGGAGCGATGCCATCATTGCTTGGGAGGATGAGGTCCACATCATTGGGCCTGGTGATGAGTCCTCATCTTACATCTACGACAGCACCCGAGTGCATGTTATTTCAGGTAGGGCAACTGGAAATGGATGCGAGATGGTTACATGCATGCTTACGAAAAAACAGAACATGACGGTGCTAGGCTAATAACAAACGATTTCTGCGAGTTTCTGGAGAGGGTGCCTGACGACACGCTTCAGGCATTTGGCGCTGCCTCGGAATCATCGCCCGCGTCCATTTTGCTCGATGCCGTGAGACAGCTGGAGCTACAATCTCCCAAAGCAGACGACTACATTCAGCTCATTCGGCCCAACCTGACCGAAGCTGTTGACACATGCGTTAATGCCGCCGGCCGAGAGTTCAATCCACAGTGGCAGAAGCGACTACTCAAGGCTGCGTCCTTTGGCAAGTCGGTGCTCGACATTTACAACAGCGACGAGTTTGTCGACATGTGCGAGACCCTGCGGGTTCTCAATGCCGTGCGGAGCTACGAGATCGGAATGCCGCTGTCGTTTGAGCAGTATCAAAGGCTGACGCCCGAGCGGCTCATTCAACGCCTCATTCAGCGGCACGAATACTTGCTGGCACTGAAGATTGCCGGGTACCTGAAACTGCCGACGGACCGCATCTATGTCAGCTGGGCTTCTACAAAGGTCCGCGTGGGTGCCCAGGATGACGATACCATCTGTCGACTGGTCGTCGAGAGGCTCTCCGGCAAGCCCGGTATATCGTTTGAAGAGATTGCACGAGCTGCGTATCACGAAGGACGAAGCCGTTTGGCCACGGAGCTGCTGAATCACGAGCCTCGGGGAGGAAGGCAGGTGCCTCTTCTACTTGACATGGAGGAGGACGAACTGGCCCTGGACAAAGCCATCGAAAGCGGGGACACCGACCTCATTCTTTTTGTTCTCACAAAGCTCAAGAAGAAACTGCCGCTGGCGTCCTTCTTCCGCGTAATCAATGTGCGACCAACAGCAACGGCTTTGGTGGAATCGGCGGCTCAGCGAGAAGGAGATAACACCCTCCTCAAGGACCTGTATTACCAGGACGATAGGCGAGTTGACGGCGCCAACGTCTTCATCCGCGAGTCGCTTCGCCAGCCGGACGCTCGCACTGCGTCGGACAAGCTAGCACTCGCGGCCAAACTCCTCTCCGAGTCCAAGGAGCATGCGGCAGAAGTTCACGTGCTCAAGGAGACGACGCAGCTCCTTCGCGCACAAGAGGCGCTCGATCGCGATCTGACGGATTCCTTCTTGGGACTGAGCGTCAACGAGACGATATTCAAGCTCATTCGACTGGGCTATTACGGAAAGGCCAAGAAGATCCAGAGCGACTTCAAAGTGCCGGAAAAGGTTGTCTGGTGGATTAGGTAAGTCGTGATATTCCTTGTTCCGAACCCTTCCTTTGCTACCTGATATACCGGGACAACGGGACATGGCGGCTGACTGGCGGCGGGCGTTGTGCCCCTTGCCGTGTCGATAGGCTTCGGGCACTTGTCGCAAAGCGCGAATGGGGTGAGATTGAGGATATCGCAAAGGCTAAGAAGAGTCCGATCGGATGGGCGGTAAGTTTTTTAAGTTTTCTTACTTGTCATATCTTAGCGATCCGAACCACATGGCGGGAGTGTGAGATTCGGGGCGTATGGCGTGTCAAACAACGAAACAGCCGGCTAATATGTGTGTTCATCCGGCAGCCCTTTTTCAATCTCACGCTGCAAGCGGGCAATCCGCGGTTGGCAGCAGTGTTTATACCCAAGTGTACGGGCCTGGAGCCCGGGGAGACGATTACCATGTATGAGAAGTGCGGGATGCGAGTCAAGGCGGCGGAGGAGGCTGTCAAGCTGAAAGATGCAGCGGCGTATGAGAAATTGCTAGAGGCGGCGGGGAGAGACACGACAGAGGGGAAGGAGATTGAGAGGGTTGGCGCTGCGGTGTTTAAGAAGTGAGGAGACGGGGTTACGTTTCTCGATTAGGTACCTTTCTAGTATTCGCTAGGGGTTTTTGTCTTGGGATTGACATGCGTATATGATTCTTACGACTTGGCAGCGGAGATGGTGATTCCAGTGTAGTTGTTAATGGAAATATTGGTGCTATTTGGAACGGTATACAGGTCTCAAAACTCTTGACTTGATAGGCCGTGATAACGACACAGACGGGCTTTTAGGGCTTGGCAGAGCTTAGAATGATTCTCATAGTCTAGTCTGCAGGATTAACTATTGACATTGTTACATAGTTCAGCCTCGTCTCTCACTTGTGCTTCTCCTTTCACGTAATCCACCTCGGCGTCACGTCATGATCCCTCGAGTCTCGTCAAGCCTGTATCATTTCCTCGGTGCCTTTATTATTGAGTGGTACAAGCGCGCGACTCTAAATCAGCCCTTCCTGCAGGAGTCCAAAGGTTCGAGGTGAGGCTGGGACGTGCTTCAGAGGATGATTAGAAGGTATGACGAATGGGGATCATGTTGCGCATTGATGGATCATTTGCAAAAGTTGCCTACCTTTTGGCAAAGCATGTGCTTTAGCCTACGGATGCAATCACTCATATCAAGATAATGACATGGAAGCTCG